TTTTTATGGAATTAAAGGGGTACGGAAACGAAATTCTAGCGCTCCGTTTTTAGCTTTAATGTGTTGCATGTTGGAGCATAACCTTAAAAATACCAGTCTTTTTTTTGAAAGGCACAAGAAAACGAATTTGAAAGCTAATTAAACGATCTTTCGATGTGCACCTGGTGGATGCAAATGGAGCCTATTTGGGAGGTAATCTAGCAATCTTTGGGGAACTTGCTACGTAGTCTTGACGTGGCAAGTTCCATCGGAGCAGTGCCGCCCTTTGGAGTTCAAGATTTTCCTTCATAACTTTCCTCCTCGACTCACAAATTGCGCATTGTACCTAACAGTTCAAGAAGACGGAAAAGAGGGACTCCCCTCTTGCTCGGACCCTCGTTTGTGTACCCGGACACAGCCATTCTCCCCCTGGCTCGTCGCTCATAATTTGGACAATAGTTACTTTTCCCACGCCGTTCACCCCTAAGCTGACAGTACTGTGGAAGCTACGTGCTCTTTGGGCCAGCCACACGTTCGTCACCCACGTGTGCTTCGAACGGCTCGGTTGAAACGCGTTGACGCTGTTGACACTACTACAACGCTGACAACGCCACCAATGGCAAAGCTCATAACCACGCCAGCCTTTCTACGTCAGGAATGCGGGGAATGTTTTGTTTTTTTTCTGTTTGGAACCGTTTGGAACGAAAAATATAGCTAGTCACTCAAAATATAAACTTGCGATTATCATTTTCGGTTATTATCCGTCATGCTTAACTCATTTCCGAACTAAATTTGAATATTTATATTTTCGTTTCCGTACCCCTTGAACATCACTGGCAGCTAAAGAAACACGGGGCAGGGGCTATTTTGTTCAGACTTCTTCGTTGGTTTTTCGCTGTTCTTAACGGCCAAATATTGCAATCCAATATCTACGCACCAATACCCTAGTGAAAATGGTATCTGTATGAAAAAGATTTTCGTCCAATAAACGCCTGGGTCAAATAGGACCATATATTAGCATTTAAGAATAATACAAGAGTACATAAGAAGTTATAAGAAACTGATAAGAGGTTCTTTGTAACTTCTTATATAATATTATTTATTGTTCTTATATGGTTCTATGTTCTGGTGCGATCTTACTTTATCATATGCGTTTATTGGATGAAGAAATTTCTATTAAAAATAGATTTTTTACTAGAGCCATAACGTGCTCGGACGTGCTACCTAACCCCTGTGTTCCCTAAGCTGTCAGAAACTGTCGTTTAAAACAAAGCAGCTGAACGTTGCTTACATGGTTGATGCATTTTTGTAAAAGTACTACATTTCATTATTACTATCCCCCCGTTGAGACACCACATGAACTCGCTGAGCTGATGAAAGAGATATTGACGAATGTTTGACAGTTGTTGTTCTTTTTTTTTTTTTTGACAAAGACGTGTACATTGTAACGGCATCACACTCAGACATACTACTCACATAGAGTTTCAGTTGGACCCATATACGCGCTGAACCACATGAACCCAAGAGTGCGCTACTGGTATGAATTTACAAACCTCCAGGTATGTACATTCCCAACGACGTATACGTTGAAGCAAAAACAGCACCTCACCAAGTACACAAGCGCGAGGCTTGCTGGCGAAAGGGTAATAAAAACTGTTCACAATAGCCAGTCGGCGGGATGATCAAAATACTGCAAAACAGAAGCATGTAAAATTGGAAAAAAAAAAGCTTTTCTAACTGGAAACCTAGATATTGAGTGCGTGGCTAGAGTTAGCGAGCTAAGAATGTGGCTGCGACGAAAGACACCTTCTTTAAGGATTGTTGACAACCTCGACCCTGGAGTGGTGCTAACTGCGAAAAAGGCAGCATTCATTTTAACACTCACATTTTGCCTTTCAACTACAGTTTGAAGCGCAGTGCTTTCCAAAATTAAGATGGTACTTTTGTTTTCAAGTATAGCTTCTGCGTGGTGCAACAAAAAGATTAACGCGCTGTTTTGCTCCTTCTCCAGGTGCATTCGTTTTTTAGAGTTTGATTCTCTCGATTTGTAGTGGACAGCACATAAAACCACAATTCGTTTAGCCTTTTTCGCAATCTATGGGGGATACCTATATGGATCTACTGTTGCGCAGAAGAACGGGCTTTCACGTCTTGCTTTAATAGAGAAGTAATAGATTCTTAGTAGGAAAGAGCCACTGAATTCGTACCCAAACATATCCCTATAATGTTTGAACACGATGGCGTTTATCCCCAATATACGCATGAGCTTGTTGTTGCCCACCCTGGCTCTCTGCATTGCCATAGCGCAACTTTGCTTTCGTTTGTTTCTTTCATTATTATGAGAAAGGTGAAATGCTAAGTTTGTTGCACACCCCCCATATAATATTAGCACACTCATATAATGTAAACGTTGTAGTTCTAGTAAGACAAAATGAAGGGGCAGCTTGCACATTAATATTACGCACCATGCGCAAATTACAATTCCGCTGAGCGAATCCTGGCGTCTCCATTTATGCAGTAGCTTTGTCTTTGTAACGACATGCCGCTAACAGATATGTATTGATAATACATCATACCGAACCTCAAATAACGTCCTCGCTGCTTGAAGTAAGGAAGAATGGAATTAACACCCACATACAAGGTGATGACGTCTCCATCGTGTGTCTTATGAGTGTGGAATAAAAACGTATATCTACTGTAGCTCCTTGATCGCAGGCTGTACAAAGATAAAAAGGTACACAGTCATCGTGAGATGATTAAACCATTACATAGGCGCTTGCGCGATGACCTACACGGAGTGAACCACCAAAAAAGAAACCTCGTCCTCGAATTTGTCATTCCTGGTGTCAATAAACTACAATGAGCACAACTGTGAGATGGTGCCAGTGTTGGCACTTGTACCACCAGACTTTTACAGTCACATTGATTATGCGCGTTGCATTGACATGCACATTAAACGGAGATACCCTGTGAGTAATCGTGGTAGTAGGACAGACGTTGTACGACAGCTGAGGACGACATTTACGACAAATACGAATTTTACGAGTTCTGTTTGTCACGTCAATATAAATATGCGCTTTGGCCAGATTCATTAGCGAAGCTTTGGCCGACACCGACGCTGGGTTCGATATTCTTTAACATACCTTTTAATTTCCTGGACCTCCAACACCTAAATGTCCGGATGGACGTCTCTTTACGATCATAGACTGGTCTGTTGGACTAAAACCCCCAAACCAACCAAAACGTCTTTTCATATCTTCCTTGTTCCTGGAAACAACCCTCCACCAAAAGAAAAAAAATCACTCAATCTCTCACAAAAAATCCTGTGAACATTCCATACAAACGCACATCTCAAGAGCATTCAACATCTCGAGGAGAGGATATTGAGTTCACGTAACGTCACGTGACGCAGGGACGCCCCTCGGTGTCACCATGTCATGTGTCTTCGTGGTCTCGGATCTGTCTCTGACATTCCAACTGCTTTTTTAGAATTAACCTTCCAATTAAAAATAAAACAAATTTCTTCGTTAAAAGTTAAAATCGTCGTATTTGCATCTATGGATTGTCCGAACCAAAGATGATGCAGAGATTCAAGTTATGAAGACATATCAGCATATGTTGAACAATGTCGTTTCTGACACTGACAAACTAATCGCAAAAATAAGATTGGTTAGAGGTCTACCGTAATTAAAAAGAAGACACTGCAAACCCTGGGAAATGGCAGCTACTCGCCATTTAATCTACTATTACTTCATATCGTAGTTTAAGTAAGAAGAACCAAAAAAGCAATTGAACGGTGTGGATCCTGGAGGAGACATTTCTTTTCCTGATCAGTGAACGCGAATGTCTGAGTGGTTGACTACTTGAACATCGAGATCTTCGTAACGCTGGCAGTGAATCGGTCGTCATGTAAAAGAGTCTTGCCCATGTGTTAAGATCATGGTCAAAGCGAATTTCCGAAAAACAAAACAAATTCAAATCGCAGAGGCTTTACAAACTGTGAGAAATAATATGAAACTTGTAGTGGGGGAATGTATCTGAGCCATAGCCAACATTAAAAAAAGGGTGAGGATGTCTTTAGACTCCGTTGTTTCATAAATAAAAAAAAAAAACGAAATAATAATTAAGTCAAGTCATTCTGAACCTTTAGCAAACCGTCCTTCGCGTGTTGCTGGATATACTCGGCTTCATTTGAAGCTCGACCACAGATGGCGCTGCGAGCCGACGGAGGCAAACAAACGGCAACCAAAGAGCACCGTTAGTGCGCTCATCCCCTTTGTGCGTTGGATATCACCCAAACGAAACATAAATTTCACGACATTCACACGTACCACCTTAAGCAAGAGCTTGTGAATGGCGCCAACAGCGCTGCGAAACAACTCAAACAAAATATAGGAAGGGACAGCAGGTGTTCATGTAAGTTATGAGAAGGGTGCACGCTGCTTCTCCGGCCGCTGTTCAATTTTGCAAAACCTCGCCCGGACGTCTCACAGGGCACGCGCTTGCTGTATGAACTGAGATCAAAAGTACCTGTCCTGCCCCATAAGGTAATCACAGACTTACTTTTTGCGAAATAATAACTTACAACCTTACAAAACATGTGTGAACTTACGAAACGATTATAATACAAAAAAAAGAAAATAAACAAGGTTCAATAGCCGGTGGCCTAGCGCTCTTGTTGCACCCCACCCCGTCACAAGTTAGAACAGAGTGGAATCCACGGGCAATAGTCATCCCGCTATCAAAGAAGGTCTTACACACAATCTCTCCTTCACTCTCGTTTCTCTAAGGCTCAGATCTACACCGCATTCAGTTAGGACGGCGAGAAAAAAAGAAAATATACATTCATGCTGAACTACGTGAATAATAAAGCGCATGTCACGCAATGACACCATAAAAAAGTCATAACTTGTCGTCGAGGGGAAATCACCGTACTGTGAACTTATCTATACAAGCAATCCGTGTCCCCCCTCATTGTGTACAACCAAGCCCGCTGATGTTTCTTCCACGAGTGAAGACTACAATGACGATTAGCATTCCGTTCGTCGGACGAGTCTTGGTAGCCGTCGAATCTGGCTTCGCTGTCAAGCCGATCTGCGGCAAGACAAGCCCAGCCAACTTCAGAGGACGGTGTCGTCTGCTTCGGATGATTCGGAGAGCTCGTGGATCGCCGCGCACGATTGGCGGGATACTGGGTGGTACGCACTTCCGCCGGAAGTACAGTCAGTTGACACCGACGGGACGTCCGTTCCAGTAAGACTCTGCGTCGCCACCGAAGACCGAGGTGTCCGGCTGCCTGGAGCAACACAACACCGATCAAAAGAATCTGTATGTCATAAACGGTCCCGGAGAATACGGAAAATAGATTCGCATGTTTATTTTCGTACAAAGACAACTGGCAGCTCACCGCGGGTCTTTTCATAATTACGTTAATTGAAATAATTAAATACAAAATCGGCGAATTTTAAAATTTTAATTCTAATAGACATTCTGCGAATGTAATATTTATTATCATGAGCGTTCAACTTTAGATACGTGTTTGTGAGTGAGATGATGAACTCGTAGCAAATTTAGTGAGAGGCACATTAAGATATGTTGGCTATTCTTATAGATTCCTGACGATGAAACACTACATAACGTGGTTCACGTCAAATGCAGCATAGGCGTACGATCCCACAGCAGAACATGAATATCAGCGCAGCGCTGCTTTAAATATATTCGAACGTTTACGTGCAAATTCACCGGGTGAAAAATAGTGCGGAGCGAAAGTTCGTCCGCTTCTCGCACATGGGTTGCAGTGACGTCAGAACGCCAAGCTCCGATTGGCTGCGCTGGAAGAATAGAGGGTAGACATCAATGCTAGCTGCCTTGAGGTCCACCCACTATCTTTCAAACAGAGCCAATCAAAGCTCGGCTTCTTTCTGACGTCACTGCAACTCAGGTTCGAGAAGCGGACGAACTTCCGCTTTACATAGGTTTCTAAATTCAAACAAAAATGACAAGTCTTCGGGAGTGAGGGACACGACGTATTCCATTCCCCTCAATGGGGCCTGGAACCGGAATCTTTAGAAGCTTCGCCGTTTGGCACGTTTTAAGTGTTGAAAAAGGGAGAGTGCCGTTAGAGCGCGCGACACCAGAGCGCCGACGTTAGAGCGCGCGACATGAGGGCGCTGCGAGAGTTGCGCGCGTGACACTAGAGAGCACGTTACGAGAGCGCAGGACCAGTTGAGCGCGCGACACGAGAGCGCACGACCAGTTGAGCGAACACCGCAAAATGTGGAATGTACCCGCGGCTCCACAGACAGACCAGAATTGTGCGACTCTTCGGATCGAATCATTGGCGATTTTCGATTGATTAAATATACCTTTAATAAAAAATAAAAATAAAATCGGTACGAGTTTTTCTAACCAGTCGTTTACTGACATCAAAGAGAAAAGGGGGCAAAAGAAAAATGGGGTTGTGTGTATGTTTATGCAGCCTAGAACTCGGTCTGCCTCACAGGGGCGACGAGTCTCCCAGCTGTAGAAGAGCAATTTAGCCAGTGCAGTCCTGGGGTCTTTAACCTGCATCACGCAGTAGTGATACACGACCGCACGCCGGTACGATGCTCATCCAGATCGAAACGGGCAGGGGCAAGGGAGTGGGGCATATAGGTACCGGGAATGTCTGAAGTTGGGTGGAGCAGCGAGTCTAAGATTTCTTCACGCTGCTGCGCTGCGCCTTTCGAATATACTATAAATAGTTTACTTTTTGCTATATTTCGTCTATTCTTAACAGGCATTTGGGCTCTGAACTATTTGGTGTCTATTTAGATGCTCCTAACATAATTTTAAATAGTATTGTGACGTCCATGACCGTAATGAAGAAAGCTCACCGCTAAAAAAAACTCTCAGCAAAAAACTCATCGAAGCAAAAAAGCTCAGCGAAATTTTATATGTTGCAGAACTTTGCAACCTTTTGACGGATACAGGAAAAACTCTCCTGCAAACCTGTGAAATAGATTTGAGAATTGTTTTCCAAAATCTTCATTCGTTGACGCGTCGGGTATGGTGACGACGTCACTTTCTGTTGTTGATAGAACACAACCTAAAGGCAATGCTCTTTCTGCATGTCCCAGAAAAAAGCTTACAACGAAAAAAAGACTTGTCCATCGCTTTGTCCGTTCTTTGCATTTTACATAGAACCGTAGCTTCTCCACATTTGTTTTAAGAAAGTAGTCCAATCTTCTAAGGGCGGATGAGAGTGCTTTGACTAAGAAATATATGGACACCAAAGATTTCAGAAATATATGAGTAAGAACCGCAGCACAAACAAAAATAAAAGTTCGAACTGAAATGTTTTAGACATGAATAGAGATCGAACTTTTACACAAGGATAGTGCTACAGGTAGTAAACTTAAAGGATCGATTGTAAGATTCGTAGGTCAGCTTTTTCCGACAAAAACGTCTCTAGAGACAGAACCAATGCGTCAAGATCTACAGCGGCGAGATTCCGAGAAGCGCATAGGAAATGGTGCCTGCCGCACCGAATGCTGTCGGTCTCGCCCCAGCGCTATATCCCTCCACTACGCTGACATCCACGCATATTTCATTTTCACTGTCGGCACAGGTTCCCGGATCAAGCGCTTAGTACAATTGTCACTTGTGACAATGTGAATGGTTGCCGTATGACACTTAGCACGAGAGCTCCTTTCCCGAAATTGATCTTGAAAACCCCAGGATACGGTTAAGCATGTTACATGTTGCTTCTTTCCTTCTGAACGTTTTAAAATGATTTTCAATAAAAATTAGTCAGATCGATGGTGAACTTTATCAATTAATATCAAAGAACAAATAAAGCTAGGTCAGCTGCAATGTCTTTTTTACTGCGGAAATAAATGCTACTTATGTTCTTTTTTTTTTTGTTCTGCTGTCAGTTTTTTGTGACACTTGTTGGCTTTTCACACGCAAAAATTTCATCGACTCATTCGTAATGTCCTTGCTGAATTCCGCGGCGTAAATCCCCGCCTATTCCAAATAAAGCATGTGATGTCCGAACAAGCGATCGGTCGGGTCGGGCCACCCGCGCTGGGCTGGTTGTGCGCTCTTGCGACGGGCGCTCTAATGACACACGCGCTAATTTCGCTGCGCTCTCGAGTCGCGCGCACTAACGTCGCGGCGCTCTCGAAGTCGTGCGCTCCAACATCGCGGCGCTCTCGTGTCGCGAGCGCTAACGCCGTGGCGCTCTACTGTCGGCGCTCTAATGTCGGCGCTCTAATGTCGTGCGCTCTAGTGTTGTACAGCCGTTGAAAACTCGCATTGTTTCAGACAACGTAAGAAACATCGGGCGTGACTTATTGTGTCACCATGCCCCGCGTTCGTTAAGTTGTCGGCGACCATGCATATACGAACAGGCACTTACTGGTGAGCATGCACTCGAGGCGTTTGTGGCACTTAAGCAAGCGCTGGGCGAATTTTTCTATCCTACGTCGGAGCTCGGTAGGCGCCGCTAGCGTATAGATGACGGGATTTAGGGCGCTGTTGATTGGCAGGATGAAGACCACCACCCATGCGTAGATGTTTTCTGAAAATAAAAAGAATAGGTAAAAGCTACAACTGATTATAGAGCCTTATTTCGACTACTCGTTCTATTGCTCCCCGCTTATTGGAAGTCCGTAAACTTACTACACACGTTACAATTGCTGTATCAACCATAACCTAGGCAAAATAAAAAAAAAATTGGGTTGTGTGTGTGTATATACAGCCTAGAACTTGGTCTGCCTCACAGGGGCGACGAGTCTCCCAGCTGTAGATGAGACATTTAGCCAGTGCGGTACAACCGCTAGCCTGGGGTCTTTAACGTGCATCACGCAGTAGTGATACGCGACCGCACGCCGGTACGATGCTCATCCAGATCGAAACGGGCAGGGGTGGGGCTCGAACCCAGGATCCCTGGGTTCTGCAGCGCGAGCTTTCGCTCCACGTGCTCCGAGCTGGTGTGCGCTAGACCACTCGGCCACCGATCCCCCTAGGTAAAATAAATTTAACGTGGCAATGGCAAATGTTGGGGCTTTTACGTGCCAGACCAACGAAAGGCATCTGAGACGCCCCAGCGCAGAACCGAGAATTAATTTGGATCCCCTGGGAATCTTGGGAGGGCTGGTTCACAAATTTGAGTTTAATTGCGGTCGATTGCGCTTCGACCGCTTTGAAAGGCTTACGACGACAGCAGACACTAGCGCCATCTATCGGCCAACCCCGGAATCGATGCGACGTGCGTTCATTTTACGCATTATTCATTCACTATGAGCCCGCACTAATACCGACATTATAAGAAACCATTTTATCATAGATAGTACGTGGATATGATCTGGCAAACGGTGCTGAAATTGCGGTCTAGTTATACGCGGATCGAAAGGGTTCAAGAGCTAGCTGATAGATGGCGCCAGTGAGCTAGCATGTTCTCTCTTCGTAAAACGTTATGCTCCAGTTACACTAGGGCGACAAACAAAAACAACCGACCCCGACAAGCCTCAAACACGAGCAGCGTGCCCGCGCAGGGTATCTTTGGCAGGCTTGCAGTCACTCGCGCTTACTTCACACAAGCACCGAGCGACGGAAAGCCATGCTGCACGTGTTTGATGCTTGTCGGTGTCGGTTCTTTCTGTCTGTCGCTCCGGTGTGGCTCGGACATTGCAAGTGGTTGTAGCGCAGTAGACCGCAGTTAAACGTAAATGTGTAAAGCAGCCTTGGCGTGCAACTGGACTCTCGGTTGCACGGTGACTTCTCCATATTTAGCCTCCATCACATGGGAATCGTATACCTGCTAACTGGGGAGAAATAGTGCAACCAACCACTGCTGCGCTGTCATCGAGCGACGCTGCAGAGGCTGGTTGCACTATTCCTCCACGGGGCACGGTGCCGTCGGGGCCGAGATGCTCTCCGATAGTAAACCGAAACTGAAAAATCCGTCGAATTTGGGTGGTTTTCAGAAAGTCGTAAAATCCTTCGCGTGCCTTCTATCGTTCTGCAGTTTGTTGATTTAGTGTTTTTTGATGATGCTGAGCAATTTTCTTATTGAAATCATGCCCTTAAACACAATATTCAAAAAGTTGATTACGCGAAAATAATTAGCAACTTAATTATCCCAGACTTTAATAATTATCCTAAATAGGCCCCTGGCCCAGGACCAAAACAACCCAAATCTTTTTTTGTTGCGACGCGTAGTTTTCGCAATGCCGAATTTGTTAACCTTTTGTGAAACACCCTGCATATATATATATATATATATATATATATATATATATATATATATATATATATATATATATATATATATATATATATATATATATATATATATAAATTGTGTAAAACGTTTCTGGCGTCCTAATTCGGCAAAACTCGGGCTGTTCGCCACAACCTGCAGTTGCTGGAGGTTTCGCAAGTTCAGAGTCGTCAGTATTCACACCAGCGGATAGGGGAGGGGGACAAAGGTCATTTTGTTTATAGGGGACACGCCCCAAAACCAGGAACTGAAGCAATAGCCAGTGCCACCCGCAATTCTAAAACGACCTCACGCCCTAGCTACTTGTCAAATTGCAGTCGCGCGGCAAGCAAAACGAGGACTCTACTTCGCTACTGTAAACAGCAGGCGGCCGATTGAAAACATCGTGCACACTGCGTGTTATTGTTGGCACGAACGATTTATTAGTGCTTCGTTTAATTTCTCTTATAAAGCAGCCGGCGCCAGGTTTAAGGCCGGTGATGTCATCACATTTATTTGCTTTCTCTTTCATTTTACTTCGAATAAATACTGACGGTCGTTGAATTCGGCCGCCAAGGTATATGTGCCGAATGCGCAGCTACCATCAGACTAGTTCGTCCGAAAGTGACCCTTGGATTATAAAAAAAAGGAAGGGCTATCGCTTGTTCGCGTCAACAGTGTTTCGTTTGTAGATTTACGCATCTAACGAATAACGTTTTGCTTAATCATAAATCAGAACGAAGCTGGGGCTGCGTTCCAAAATCCTGCTCAATTCAATGTGGGTTACTCCGGCGTGGCATTCCACGTCACAACATAGATAAAACACTGGACGCAAGTGGGATTTAGAACGAAACGATGCATAACCTTTACTCTCGAATGAGATCGAGCAAATTTTAGAACACGGCATGGAAATGTGAAAAAACACCGTGCGAAAATCGCAAAACCAATTCGGAAAACAAGTAAAAAGTTTTAAACACTTCTTTTAATAGTAGACCACGCGTAAGTATTTATTGTACGCAAGTCACAAGACGTCTTTTACTAAAAACATGTGCGAAATTTGCATGCAATAATTTTATTTTACTTAATATCGTGAAAAAATGCTTATATTGCGAATTTCGCGAGAATTTCGGTCGGTTATTCAAACCGGGGGTTAAAGTGTAACATTCTAATATTCAGCCCCTTTGACCAGACACATTGTGTAAGAATAAGGAACTTGACCATAAGTCGTCTACTTCCAGGCAGAATTTAGTACAAGGCGTATATCTAGGAAGTGCGGTAGAAGGCGTACTACACTCTCTCTATATATTTTTTGTATTATCAACTGTGTACATAAAACGCCACTTGAGGCAAACTAACATCCTGTTGTATAAGCAAATCCGCAAGACATTTTTTGTTTCATCAGGCTCTATCGGAGAATTACTGGACCAGTCCCGGAGGTGCGGTTGAAGTTAACGCGAGTCAGTAGCAAGCCGAAGTTACCTTGCCGGCCGTTTCATGGACAAATTTGACGGTATATATCAATATATACATCGACCGATTGGCCCAGTAGGGTACTTTCTTGAGGCCTCCACTAAAGTGAGAGAGTGCGTTACCATGTTTCTAGGGCTTCACAGTGAAGCTCTGGAAACATGGTAATGCACTCGTTCACTTTATTGAGGCTCCAAGAAGGTAGCCTACTGGAAGTAGAGGGCTGATAGCACCAAACCATGTACATTCACGTAACAACTGTCAAACATGCATCACGCAGATGAATTACACAAAAAGCTTCTGCCCTACAACACCAAACCGAATCGTGGCTGGTTTTCTAATAAATGCGGTTACCTGATCCTCCAGGTAAAATAGTCACAAGGGAATTTGGTTGTCACGTCACCGGCTCCGTGAGGAGACACGTCCTATAATTCTAGTCGATTCCGTTCAGCAGCCATAAGCATCGTCTCTCCTCTGCTTTAACTCTTGCTGAACACGACCTTCCCCGGAAATAACTTTACAAGCCACGGTGGCATGTATAGTTATTTCTGGAATAATAATTGAAAACTAGTGTTTTTGTGAAGATATATACGAATGCATGAAAGGATAAAACATAGAGGGCGTGGCCGGAAACAGAACTTATTTCAAAGGAAATTCTGGCGTGTGTGTGTATGTTTTATCCTTTGTGTTTTATCCTTTCATATATTCATACTCATTTCTGGGGAACGTCGTGTTAAGCAAGAGTGAAAGCAAAGGACAATCAATGCTTACGGCTGCTAAACGGAATTGGCTGAAATACTGGGTAGTGTCTTCTCACAGAGCCGATCACGAGGCAATCAAATTCCTTTCTTGATTATTATACCCACAGGTTAAATTAACCGCATCCACCCCTAAAGCACATGGATGTGGTTTATTCATTTTACCTTTCAAACCTCTTGACCCATTTTTTTCTTCACGAGAAATCCGACTTCTAAAATTGAAACAGGGGCAAACTGAGGGCATCCCATTTCTTGTAGCGCTACGTACACAGATTGGACGGCGGGGGCAAGGAAGCGTTGCGAGGAAGTGGAAATTAACAGTTGTGGCAGTGGAGGGTGATAAGTCAACTGTGTGGACGTTCTCATGGACTCCGTGGCGCCGAGAGCATGTGGATGACGGTGTGTGCCAGGAGGGCTGCCGGCGTGGACTCGACGGGAAGCGGCTTGACCTTCGGGACTGTGGATATCGGTTGGGGCACCGGGGGAGCTCGCCTTTTTAAACGAGTGTCTGACAAATAAACCTTCAGCTGTGATTGAGACGTTGTGTTGTGTTCGTCCCCTTCTGTGTTCCTGAGTCTCGGGTTCTATTACCATGAATCATCACCAGCTCGCTTGTTTTTCAAGTATTATTGCACGTACACTCAGTTTATTGTCTCCACGTAGCAAGTCACGTGACCTCCAACTACCTTATGCGACCAGTTTACCCTCCGGTTCAGGCGCCTCATCGATCAGAAACCCGGACCAAGAGTGCGATTGGGGTCTTTGTGGTGAAGCAAAAGCTTTTTTGAGTACCTGATATTTGGACCTCGAGAAGTGCGAGTATCTTGATGATGACGATGGGGATCCAGCACATGCAGTCGGTGAGGACGATGAAGAAGAAGCGGAGCGCAAGCACGGCGTCTTCCTGCTTTTTCATCGTGACCGGTCGTGCCCGCTGCCTGTCTTCCTTGATGATGCAGAACATGGACAGGTACAGGCCCATGACCAACACCATCTGGAACCGGGTGGCAGTTATGTTTTTTTTTTACTCTAAACCCTATCCCACCACAGCCTGTGCAGTCCGACGAGTTGACTACTTTGTCATCCCACCGCCGTGCAAAGCCACGTTATGAATTATTTCAAGAAATCAAAAATGATCAAGAACAGAGTTTTCAATCTGTGTAACTAACTTACAAAATCCTACTTAATAGGTTTTCCCCTTAGAAAAGTTTGGTTTGTTACGATAAGTTTCGCCCCAAACTCTCCCTACGACTGGAGGCTATGTATTAAAAAAAAATCTACCGAAGCAGAAATTCACCGAGTTTCTTAGTCCAGAGACAACGAATGGCCGTAGTTTTTTCACGATAAGTAGAAAAACAATGAGTGCCAGTTAGACCAAAGCAAAACAGAAGTTTGTACGGACAAACGCGGTTTTAAAAAGGAGGCATTGACCCTTCATAACGACTTTGTGCACACTACTGTCTGCTGTGAAAAACGTCGGGAATAAAAACAGAACAAAAAATGGCGGTGAAATTGCAAACAGGGTTCCTCTAACCGCCATTTCATTTTATTTATTTTTTTTTTTTACAATGCCGCTTTAGTACTCTTGATTTGAATCGAAGTGATCTTGGTGGAGTAAAACGATCAGAGGTACGAGTAAAGACTAAACTAAAAAGCAATATAAATTCTCTAAATTCGTTTTCCCAGTCTTCTCCTTCAATCACAAGTTATACGGTGGACGATGGTGGTCTGTATTTGCATATCCAAATGACATAGCCACATCGGCCATTTCTCTCTTCCCGACTGAGAATTAATTTTAGATTTCGATTAAACCGAGCCGCGCCACAAAGAAAAAAAAAACGTGTTTCGTTCACGTAATTAGATTATCCTTATTTTATTTTTATTTTTGTGTAATTTGTTTCTGCCACCACCGCCTTATAGAAAGCACGGAAGCTTTTAATCATGAAATAAAATAGTCAGTGACTCAAGCGCTTTGAATTTGCATAGGAATCATCGTGCTGGAGAGAGCCAGGAACCCCCCCCCCCCCCCCCCCCCCCCCCGCCTCATCACTCAGCCACCAGTGCATAACGCGCTCGCATCATCGCCCACTAGACTGCCTTTCACCAGAACTTGGCACAAAACGAACACTACGAAACCCCCGGGCCGATGAGAGCCACGGAGCCAAAGCATCTGACAGGTCTTCGCTGGAAGAGTGCCCTCCGACGATACACTACCACGCATTTCCTAACCACGCCGTGATTGGAACGCTGGGGCCAATACCCTTCGACGTTTGCCAAGTTACCCTGGGAACAGAGTGCAGGGATGCTTCCCAGAGATCCGGCCTCATTTCCTTTCTCTCTCAAGAGAACACTACATCTATATCTCTTCTCCTTTTCCCTCTCTTCCCTTCTAACGATGCAAATGATTCAACTTTGTTACTGTGCGTAGCGACGCGATGACAGCCAAAGAGAACCGAGGAGGAAGGATCATCCTCAAAGGGCTGTGGAGTGAAGCATCGTTTCAGAAGTAAAAGCGGGCTCGAATGTATGAGGCGTTGCTCGGACGGCTTCCGTAGCAAGCAACTCGGAAGGCAACGGAAGAGTTTGGTCCAAATTACGGCCATATATCACCCCTTTTGAAAGATGGACGTGGGGGAAGCGTGGGGTTGAAGTGGTGGCCGCGGTTGGAAGCGTATTTTATGCAACCTGTACGAACCTGGAACTACCGACATTTCCATGCATCGAAGGGTACATTTGTTAGACAGCCTTCAGTACGCACCTCTTCATACTCATACCCGTCATACACCGACCCTTTAGCTGGAGGTTCTTGACCCGCTAGCGATTGTACACGATCTTCATTATTAAAAAAAAATATTTCTAAGGAATCAAGAGCTATCAATGACAGGACAAAGCTAACGTCGAATACATTCCTCGAAAGTGTCGGAATGTCGTTATGAGGGTTCAGTGATCGTATAGTTCGTCTTAAATAATTTAGGTTCTTGCGCTCCTTTTTACTTCACTTCGCTCTTCGTAGCAAAGTTGACAGACTACTCTGTACGAATCGTATCTTACGCAGGAGACGCAAGTCGCCCCATATTGAGGTTGACTTTAAAAAAGAAAATCACAAAATGAATCAACACAGGCAGGATTAACTTGCAAATGTACCTCCTAGAGAGAGAGAGAAAAAACTTTTATTGGCGGAATATGAGAATTCCTTATAGTGCGGTCCTCGTTGTGGCCGTTGTGGCGGCGACCTCCTTTGCCCTTTCCACCAAGGCGCTTTGCACCTCTGGGTCGGAGCTTCGGAGCGAGGTCTCCCACTCATCATGGGATGGGATTGAGGGAAAAGGGTCTTGTGGGCAAGCCCATATTATGTGGGGCAGAGTGGCTTTGTCTCCACATAGGGTGCATTCCGAGGTGGGGTACATTGAGGGGAAGATGTGGGTGAGGATAGTGGGGTTAGGAAAAGTGCCCGTCTGGAGTTGGCGCCAACTATGGGCCTGCTCTAGGGTAAGGGACTTGTCGGCTGGCGGGTAGACCTGACGGGAGAGGAGGTAGTGTGTGGTGATTTCATGGAAGCTGGATGGACGGTCCCTGGCGGATCTGGCCCCGTGATAGGGATGGAGGCTAGGCCCTGCCCGGATAGTGTATCCTCGGGCTTGTTCATGGGCCGCTTCGTTTCCCTCGAGACCAGCGTGCGCGGGTGTCCAGACCAGCCTGACGGAGGTCTGGGGCGGGTTTCTGTGAAGAATATTGAGCGCTGGCTTGGAAATGCGGCCAGCTGCGAAATTTTGAAGGGCGGTTTTAGAATCCGTGATGATCACTGAGGGGGTTGGGATCACAGTGAAGGCGAGGGCTATGGCTACCTCCTCCGCCGTTTCTGGGTCAGTGGTCAGGACGGTGACAGCGTCGATGGGGGTGTGTAAGTTGTCAGTCACCGCCGCCGTGAAAGCCCCATGGTGCCTGTATTCTGCCGCGTCGACATATAGGACACCCGGGTCATCCCCGTAGGTTCTTTGCAGGGAAATGGCGCGTTGTTTCCTGCGAGCAAGGTTGTGGGTGGGGTGGACGTTTCGAGGTAACGGATTTGCTATAATTTTGTTGTGGATGTTGGGCCTGATGGGGGATTTGTCTTGGTGGAGCTTGTGACATCCAATGTTTAGGCTGGCGAGTATGTGCCTACCAGTGGGGGTGCGGGAGAGTCTAGTCAGTTGGGCAGCACGATGTGCTTCTATTAATTCGTCCAGGTGATTATGCAAACCGAGTCCTTCCAGTTTGGCAGTTGGAGTGCTAGGCGGTAGGCGCAGTGCTATTTTGTAGGCCTTGCGGATCAAGGTATTAACCTTATTGTTGAAGGCCGGCGTGAGGCGTAAGTGTGGGGCCGAGTATGTTAGCCTGCTCAGGACGAATGCCTGTAGGATGCGTATGCGATCCTGTTCGTTGAGGCCTTTATGTTTATTTGTCACCCTTTTCAGTAGGCCTATTGTTTGATTAATCTGACTTTCTATTCGCTCAAGAAATTTGTTATTGAGCCTATTCGCCTGGATCTGCAGTCCCAAGATTTTGAGCTCCGAGACCACTGGGATTGGCCTGCCATTGATGTGTAGTTCGATGTCAGCGTTGTTTTGTTTCCTAGTGTTGGAGGGCCGAAGTAGTATTAGTTCGGATTTCGCCGGAGAACAAGCGAGACCTGCTCTCTCTGCTTCCTCCGCTACTATGTCAACCCCTTGTTGTAGTGTTTCTTCTATATGAGCGTCACTCCCTCTGCCGATCCAGAGGGTGATGTCGTCCGCATAAAGACTGTGTCGGAGTTGGGGAATTCGGCCTAGCCTTTTGGGGATGTTGATGACTGCCAGATTAAAGAGAATGGGCGAAAGCACAGCCCCTTGCGGGGTTCCCCTGCTGCCCAGTTAGGTAGTGTCTGACGTGAGGTCGCCAACGTTGACTACGGCAGTTCTCTCGGAGAGGAATGCTTTGATGTAGTTGTACGTCCTCTCTCCGGGGTTTACTGACCCCAGACCCCCCAGGATGGATTCATGGGTGACATTGTCGAATGCCTTTGTGAGGTCTAGGGCCAGGATGGCTGCCGTGTCGAGGTTACCTGTGGATTTGATTATTTGTTCAGAGAGCTGTAATAATATGTCCTGCGTGGATAGCCCAGCCCTGAAGCCAACCATGGTGTGTGGGAACAGGTCTGCGTCATTCATGTGGTTGGTCAGCCTATCTAGGATTATGTGTTCCATTAGTTTACCTAAACAGGATGTTAGAGAAATAGGTCTTAGGTGTTCTAGGGTGAGGGGTTTCCCTGGCTTGGGGATTAGAATAACTTTTGCGTGTTTCCACGACTCGGGAATCCTCCCCTCTCTCCAGCATGTGTTGATGTAGTCGGTGATGTCTGTAATGGATGAGTCATCAAGGTTGCGGAGGGTGCGGTTGGTTATTCCGTCCGGTCCTGGCGCCGAGTTGGGTTTGAGCTTGGATATTGCCGACCTCACCTCCGCCTCCGCGATTTCTCGGTCCATGTTGGTGTTTTGCTGCCCAGGGTAGGGAGGGAGTGCATTTTGGGGCCCGGTCGGTAGGTATTTTTGGGTAGCTTGACCGCGGCTAGTATCCCCAGGAGCCCCGAAGAATCTTCAGGGCACTGAAGAATCTTCGGGTCACTGAAAGATTCCTCAGGAATGTCGGCTACTCATTCCCAACTTTCTTGGGCATCAAAGACTTGCGGATTTCCAAATACAACTAAACAGCAAACATCGCAATGCTTCCCGTGAATATTTTAGATAACAGTCATATATAATATCAAGAAGCAGTAATTAAACTTTCGGACGCGTACAGCTTTTGTTCCACAGCGCTACAGTTTCTTTGAATCCTACAGGCCACATTCACAAAATTATCAATTTTTGCTTTTCTTGACAAAAGATTGTAATGTTGCGAGGACTGTAATTGCCTATGTATCATAGAACGCGAGTCAATAAGAATTTGCGTATTTTCTTAAAACCTTTCTACTCCCCTGACTTTCCCAGAATGTTGTCAATGACTTCGAGGTTTACAGGAGGTTCCTTTCAAGTTCTCGCCGTGCAAGACACATAACTAAGGAGGCTCGTTCCAACTCTTGCCTTAAAATCTCACTTTAGTCTTACACTCAGAAGTGTGACTTCACAGTCGCGTTGCATGTACCTTCGAATGATGGAAAAAAGAATTGCCGGGAGGGACTTACTGCGAAGAAATTGATTCCCAGGAAGACGAAGGCGGAGTACTCCCAGCCGAGCATGAAGGGGTCATCGATGTGAAGCGGGAAGCAGAGCCCGTTGCTCGAGTAGAATGCCCTTTCGCTGGGCCAGCGCAGCACTGGAAACAGGGCCAGCACGAGGCCGGCCAGCCATACCACAGCCAAGAAGTAGCGCGCCGCGTTCACCGTCACCGCACGCACGTTCGTCTGCGGTCAAGGGAAGGGAAGACCATGCGTCTTCAACCAGTCGAATCAGCCAACACAATAGAGAGTTTTAGGGAAACGCTTCGCATCTCCGATCGGTCGAGCAGCCTCGCGATAAGAACGTCAAGCTACCTACAGCAAAAGCTTCCTTGCTTTGATCACAAATTTCAATTCCAATTTTTATCATTATCTTTTTCAACAAGAAAAGTTTGGAAATTAGAACAAAATATGTCGCCTCATGTACTTGAGGAGCCGCGAGTAAAGTTATTAGTGAGGAAGATTGTAATAAACAAAGATTATTGAAAAGTCACTAAATCCCAAATCTACATCTGCTAAACTGTTTAGCTTTGTTTCTCTTCTTGTTACAAATTATAGTTCAGTGGTCATTCAACGCTTTGCTGTGAACGTTTGTTCCTCGTTTAACGAGCTGTTTTTATATGTTTTACAGGACCGCGCTGAAATCGCTGCTAAAGTACCCTTGTACGGGAGATTCTCAAGGTGGAGAAGATATGGAAATGTCATGAATGCTCATAAACTGCAGCTGTCTTGTCACAAAGTCGATATTAGCGACAGACACATATCCCGCTAAAACAGGGGGACGAGGTTGCTCACCTTGATGCAGCAATAGCGCTCGATGGTGATGAGGGAAAGGATGAGGACGGACACCTCGCAGGACACCATGGCCACCAGGCCGCAGAGGGTGCAGAACCAGGAGGACATCCACTGGTGGGCGTGCTTGTTGTACTCGTCACGAAACGCTACGTCCAGGGAGCCGACCGTCACCAGGTATATGCCCATCAAGAGGTCCGCCACTGCGCCACAGCAGAAGGCAGAGGACGTGCAGCAGGGATTCAATCTATTCAAAAAGCAGACAAGTAACAGTATTTGTGGTGTGTGTTTGTTTAACTAGGGGGCAAGTGAGTCATCGCCAGAGGGTGTCTTGTGTCCCCGCTGTAGATGAGAAATTAGACCAGGACAGTATCACTGCTAGTGTTGGGTCTCTAACGTGCACCACATAATGGCGATACCCGACTGCAGCAGGTATGATGCTCGTCTTGATCGAATCATGCAGGGAGGGGGGGGGGGGTATCTTAGAATGTCTGGGTTTTGCAATGCGAGCTTTCGCTCCACGTGTTTCGAGCTGTGATGCGCTAACACATTCTGTGACCGAACCCTACACTCAATTGACTGATAATTATTCTTCGCCAAAAAAATTGCGGACATTAAAAAAAAAAAAAAGTTATGTCAACAGGAAAGGCCTTAGTTAACGGCGGCTTCAGGTAGACTGCGTCGCGAAACGTCTGCCACGGAAACCTCTTTTGCTATTCTAACAGGCACGCACTCGACCCACGAGCCGTTTGATGAGGTAAATTGTATCCATAGCTTTACTGAGATAAGCATCTTGTACAGAACGGTTGTTGTGTTTTGTTTACTTGTTTGATTGTTTTTATTTAGACACAAGGTCTATGTAGCAAGGCAAGAGGCCGATTTACTCTGCCTGACGAGGAACTGATACCCCTTTACCACCAAAACTAAAACAAATAGAGAAAAAGTCACTGTACGGCAAAGACCGTCGCTGTTGTTCGTCTGCCCTTGATGTGCAATCCCGAATATATACTAGATTTTAAGCGCCACTAGCATGGGAAAAGTTAACTTACTATTTTAGTGGCTAGATGGCACTAAATATTCGAAAGAGTGTTTTCTCCGTTCGGTGTGAGATTGCAGTAACCTTTAAGGTGTACTCTAAGAAGTTAATTTTTCTTTAATATCTCAGATTGGAGCCAACGTTTGGCTAAGCTTAAAAAAAAAAAAGAAGAAACGTCGGCTGCTCTGTTTAAAGATTATCTTTTCCCAGGCTAGTGTACAGTGACATTCGATTGCACAGTTATGTTCATGTAATCGGTGACAGGTAAGAAATGCAGTAGAAGGACGGCCTGCCGCACGCTCCCGTTGCCTTGCGCCGGGCTATGTCCGCGCGTGCGGCGAACCGTTATCAAAGACAGAAAACACGCGCTGGAGGAAGAGTGTGTAGTTAGGCGGACGGAGACTCACTGGAAAGGTTCTTGATGAAGAGCGAGAGGACGCGGTCCTCCTTCTTGGCGAGGAAGCGCCAGGCGAAGACGACGCTGTTGCCCGTGCACGTGGTGAAGGCCACGACCCAGACGGACAGCCGAAGCACGGGCCACACCAGGAGGTGCTCTGTGGACGACAAGCCGTCCGTCTTGGGCATGCAGATGCGCACGTAAGGCGCGTAGCTGCAGTAGTGGAACTTCTTGAAGTAGCTGCACGCGAGGGACGCCAAGTATACCAGGGATCAACTTCACAAAAACTACCGAAAGAAAACAAAACAAAAAGCCATCTATTCCAGTCAAAACGATGCGTTGATTCGTTGCGCATAAGGCTAAGAAACGCAGAAGGCGCGTTGTGCATGTGTTGGCAACTTTGACTCTTTGGCGATGTTGTGAGCCGCTGTCGCACAGCTAATACGTCCTACAAAAGAGAGTTTGCAGACAGAGTCCGAGGCGTGTTTCTTCCTTGTATAACCGTTCTGTTACAATAGGGAGTTTTAGGGAACCGTTTTTGCACATCCGATACGGTACGATGGGCCCTCCCGTTCGAACTGCGCATGCGCTACAACAGGAGACTCCCGCATGCGCAGCTCATCTCAGAGGGCCCATCGTGCACCGTATCGGATGCGTACAAACGGTTCCCTAAAAGTCTCTATTAGAGAGTTTTAGGGATTCGCAAAGCGTCATGCTTATATTGCGTAATGCCACAGCGCAGACTTCATTTCGAGGTCTAAAAAGATGTTCCGCCTCATCATTCGCTGCACTGATTTCGTAGATCGCAGAGATTGTAACTTTGAGTGTTTTTCGGGTAAGTACACGCGCAGGCATTCCTTAGAGTGTAACACTACATTTAGACTCGTTTATACAATTCTAATTTTAACGTTTGAGCAGTCTTATTCTCTAGCTTCATGACTCTATAGAATGCAGGCTCGGATAGCATTGCTCAATGAATTATGCAGTCACGTACTGAAAGGTAGACTCACATGAACTCGAGTTTCGGGAGATGACGAAAATGTCGAATGCCGATGTTGGAGATCTCGATACCAGAAAGGTTCCTGACAATAAAATTGGACTATTGTAATGTAAATTTTTTTCGCAGAAATGAAAAAGAATCCTAAGGACGATCGACTCACAATGAGTTGAGGCTACGCAGATCGTGAAAGAGTGTTGCTGGTAGTGACTTGATGGGGTTTTGTGAAAGATCGCTGCGGCAGACAACGCCAATGCAAAAATACATGTTTTTAAAGCTTTTATTAAAATTAAATGATCTTAGTTCGTAAGTTTCTTTTGTCGAAATTCCAAAGTAAAAAACAGTGTCGAAAAATTTACTAAATTCGAGGTGCGAGTCCCAAGTCTTGAGCTGTCACGAACTAAACCAATATTATGAGAGACCAATATCGCAAAGATCGGGTAGGAGTAGAAGAAAGAGACAGAACAGAACAAGAAAGATAAAGGGAGAAAAGGATGGATGGTATATAGAAGTGGGGATGACGAGCCTAGTCTAACCATTCAGACTTTCAACCCCTGATTAGCAACTGACGTTTTAACGCAAAAAACGACAAGAAGGAAATTAAATATGCGAGTAAATGAAAGATACGAAGGGAAGAAAGGCGTTGATCGAGGAAGAACAGAAATACAAGGTGTTTTACCAAGTAATTTATCATAAAGTTAAAAGAAGTAACTTTTGTGCTAACACATTAAACGCAACATTGTAAATTTTGCATAAGCTGGTACAGCTCTCTGATAAAGTCCTTTTATCTGTTACTTTTATATATTTTTATCGCATACTCACATTTTCTTCAGGCTACGAAGACCTTTGAACAGGCCAAGATGAAGGGTGAACAATGAGTTTCTTGAGATATCTCTGCGTTTGAGAATTAAGTAAGAAACAAGGATGATCAACGTCTAATTCATAAAATATTTAAGTCGCAACCTACATTTTGTAATTAGCGTATACAACGTTTGTTACAGACTGTATTGAGATGCAGGTTGAAATTTTTTTAAAGTACAAATTTCATAGCAATGTCCCTGACTGTTATAATTATGGCATCAACAAACTAAACTTTTTAATAATCGTTCAATGTTCAAAATTCAACAACGAAAGACAATTTGCTTCTAGTGGTTTTGCATCACAATATATTAATGCTGGAAGTACGTTTGCCTCACAAGAAGCACTACGTTTATTTCTACTTTATAACTTTAGATTAACTAGTATTTTAATAAAGCTGTTATAGTGCGAGCTGGTCAAGACAACAAGCGGGGTTTGTAAAGATATCAAATACGATCTAATAGTACAGTCATATTAACCTAGGACGTAAGCGTCTAGCTCAAACTGTTTAATAGAAAATGACTATGTACACGAGGAAAATAATAAAATAGTTTAAAACAGTTTTTTTCTACAGTTTTATATCCTGAAAAAAGTGAGAAAACAGATTAAGCTCACAGTTCCAACAACTTGGTGTTCTTCTGAAAGGTCTCTTCGGGTATATCTACGAGATGATTCTCACGCAAAATTCTGAAACGCAGAATGCAAGAACATTTTGTTTCAAAACGTTAACCTTAGACACACGGTACAGAACATTACACTCACAAATAACATACATTTATCAACTTGTTTCACTTCCTTCAAAAAAGTGGTGAACATTGGTACTTCGAGAAAATTTATCGATGGCTGGGCTAGTTAAAGAAAGGGCATGTCTCCTATGAAACTAGCCTCGTAACCGAACGCAAACCTGAGCAGCTACGTAATCAGAATCAGATGAGTACACATATACTCCGGTTTTTCTCAAGAGCCATCTAGCCAATCCGTGCCGAGGGCGCACCACATGATCTCATGCTCCGCGCGTCGCAGCGCCCATCCCAAACGTCCGGTAAGACTTGTTCCCAGCGCAGTGTTGGCTGCGACTGATCAATAGTGTTTCATTGTGGTCTATCTTAAGGTGAAACAGAATATAACCGCGTGCATAGTTGCGGACGTGCAAACAGAAGCTAAAAAAGGTAGAATTTGCCTTTGGCCACGGTGGTAGGTTCAACGCCTCAGCACAACGATCCATCAAAAAAAAAAAAAGAAAAAAAGAAACCCGTTCAAGAAGCAAAAAGAAAAAAGTGACTCTGTCATCTCGGAGCCGCAATCCATATCCGCCGGACACAAGAGCGATCGAAGCTCACCCAGGCACCAGGAAGTAAAATATCGGCAGGGTACACTTTCTGAAAGAGGCAAGTGCACGCTATGGAAAGGTTTCCTTTTCTGCCGCCGTGTTGACAAACACCCACCTGCCCACACGCGCACCCCCCACGAGGACTCTAAGTGCACGGATAGAAGAACACACGCTGTCACAATGCATGGCTTGCACGTGTCGTCATTACGCCATGATGGTGGGCGTGTCTATTTGTTCTTGCCCAAAAACAAAAACACGCACGCTTGGCGGTGCGCAATGTACGCGAGCTGAAGGTACGCGTTCAGCAGCATGGTCACCACAATGGCTGCTGATGTGAGGTCAGTGAAAGCCGCGTATACACACACTCAACTCTCTGACGTCACGGCACTGCGGTGGCGCTGCTGTCTGTACAGTGCATGCGCAGACTTTTCATGTCACGCGATAATGGTGTCTGCACTCGCGCAGTGTGCATACCTGGCGTGGGAGAACGCAAGGCTTGCTTGTAGACAGCGTGATGGCGTATGGACCAACGCACGGTTTACAAACAAGTCAGCGTTTGTCCATCTCATGTGTGCGTACTGCCCGTGCGCAAAGGGCCTACAGCAGCGTCACCACATCAGCATGACGTCAGAGCTGCTTGTTTGTATTTCGGAATATAATGTCACGTGACAGGGTCGTCCACGGGTTACACCGCGCCTGCAAGGGGTCACTGCCACTAAAAGCGGCGGAGAGCGTTATCCCGGTACTACTCATCTTTTTGTTTTGTTCTTTTACGTGGCAGTGTGATGTTATTGTATACGCGGTGGCGATGAGGTCGGCTCTCCCCTTTTCGGTACCTCTAAAAATAGCACCCCGTTCACTTCCTCTATCGGTTCATTTTTTTTTTTTTTTTTTTACTTGCGCGTACGTGGGACTGAAATCCTCCTCGCCGTAAGTTGGTGAGATCTGGAGAGAGCCGCTTTTTCATTTCCTGTCGTTCTGTCTCCCCAATCCATCATACCAAAACCGCTCGAAACTTGGTAGCGAAGAAAGAACGACAGAGGCAGCAGCGCCGTGTTGTTGTCGGATCGGATGTGAAACTACTTTGGAAACTTGGGAAGTGGGCGACGGGATCCTTATGGCTAGACCCCGCGCCATTGAATCTTTGATGGAATATAGATCAGGGATGGACGTGTGATAGAAATAAGTAAATGGTTTGTTTACTTACAAAACCTCTAGGTTCCGAAGGCCCTGAAAGGTGTCTTTGTGGAGGGTTTTCAAATTGTTTCTTTTGAGATCACTGAAAATAAGAAACAGGATACATGTTTTTAAAGATTCCGCGTACATTTTGTTTGGGTGTGTAATCCATATATTTTGCAGGTTATGAACCCACTTTGATATAACACGTTTTTTCTCATATAGTATCGAACACTCAATTTTTTTCCCAGCTACATCTGGTTACCTATAAACAAACCTAACTTGACATTCAGAAAACAAGAAATATCCTAAGGAAGGACATACTACTTTTTACGGCTCCATCCAATCTATTTAACTAAGTATATCAAGCAAAAATATTAACTCAGATCGACATAATTTGATGCAGAGACTGTGCTCTCCATGTAACAAATTTTTAAAGTTAGGTACATTTGCTGGTCTTTAAAGCAAGATGTCTTAGCAAACCAAAATTAGGTCTCAATATCATAACAATAATAATACATAAATATTCTGATCCTCTTCAGCTGTAATTCTTGTATATTCAGGTCTATACTAAAGCTAATCAAGTGCACACTTACAGCCACGTAAGCGATTTCTGCTCAGGAAATGGCCTGTAGATTCCTGTAAAACCGTTGCCCTCCAGATTTCTGAAATGGTGAAATCCCACAGGTGACTGGGAAAAGTAGGGATCTGGGAAGCTTGATTTATCTGCTCTGAATGAGGACTGTTTCTAAACAAAACCACCTTAGTCCAAACAACTTATATGGCAAAATAGTAGCTACTGAGTATCGTAAAGTGCTCACTAAATTGTCGCAAATACTTTCGGTTACCCGATGTTTTTTATTTACTCAGAATGTTATATAAAACTAAAAATCGCGACATAATTCCTGATAAATATTTCAAAGGAAATGTTGCTTACAAGAGCTCAAGCTTGGGTATATCTCTTAAAACGTCAAAATTGAATATGCTCAGGTGATTGTGCTTGAAAGTCCTGTAAACGATTTATAAAGGCATGTTATTACGTAAAAGGTACTCAATAATTTAAATGACACACGCCATTAATCGTAAATATACTTACAGCCAATTAAGGTTCAGCAGGCCGGCAAATGATCCTAGGTGAATTTGAGAGATGTGATTTTTTTCAATTGTCCTACAAGAAGAAACCGCGTACATTGGTTTAGAGTTGCAGAAGAATCACAGGTTTACACAATCGATGCTAAATAACAAACAAAACGTTTTTCCAACATATAAGAAATGCTTGGTGCATATGGTGAGGAGAACAGTAACCCTCTTGTATATTATCATCTTTAAGATTGCCAAGCATCGTCAGGTTTCGCTACTCGCCACGACACTCATTCCTATGGGGTAACAGGTGACAGGCGCTCAATAAAGAAAGCACATCAAAATGAAAATACTCACATAATTCGAAGATTTAGGAGTCCATTAAATGCCAGCGGAGATATTCCTGATATTGAATTAATGATCATCCTAGAAATAACAAGAATATTAGCAAGATATTATCACAGTTTATTGAGGGCTCCGCTAAACAGAAAAGAGAATACTCACAAGCTTGATAGATTTGTGTACCCGTAGAAAGCATTAGCCGGTAGCACATTGAGACTGTTGTTCGTTAATATTCTAAAAATAAACCACGCGACAATTAAGTTTCAGACATTTAAATTTGCATAGCTATCAACGTCAAGCAACCCAATTACACACAAATCTCGTTTTTCTTTTTCTTTTTAAAAACAAAACAAACAAAATTTCTATTCTCAGAAACTCTAAAATGTTTTAAAAAACCTGGTTGTGTACCGCACTCCCCATAGAACAGCATGCTATGAAAGATAACTATGCTTTCTCCACCATCCCAATCTTTCTCTCTCTCCCTCTCTCTCTTTATTTTTTGTTCTTTCGTTAATAACTCAACTTCAGAGTGGTGCTACCTTCATACGATAAAAAAAAGGTCTTACAAAATCGCCTTGTCCATATGGAAGAGGTGCATGTCTTCTGGTAATCATTGCCGACGTAATTTTTCTTAAAAAGTTATCTAGTGAGCGTCCTTTATCTCATCAGGGATGCGGTATCACTGTACAACTATCGGCCCATGTCATTGCTATCATCATGCGCTAAACCTCTTGAACACATTGTGTTCTTTTACAATCTTAATAATATTTCTCTGCAAAGTGTTGTGACGTACAAATATCAAGGAGTGTTTTTAGAGCCCAGCTCTTAGGCGCCCGTCTCCGGCTTGAGCGGCGTCGGCGTAACCGTGAGGTCACGGGACCCCCCCCCCCCCCCCTTCCGAGGTCACGTGACTCTCAAAGTCACGTGACCTCTCCCCCCAGGTTACGTGACCCCCAAGGTCCCCCCCCCCCCCCCCCGAGAACACGTGACCCTCAGTACCCTTCCCTCCTCCTCTTCAAGAGCTGCGCTCTAATTCGGCGTTACAGGGAGTTGTAAACGGCTTTCATTTACCTCTTGAACACATTGTTTTCTCTTAGAATGTTAATAATATTTCTCTGCATTGTTGTGAAGTACAAATATCAAGAAGTGTTTTTTTTTTTTCGTACGATTTAATCTGGAATGTACGCGTTGACTATGTTGTTTGCGAAATTTACGGCAAATATTGGTACTTTAAGAGTAATTTGAGGCACTGTTCTTGTGATATAAAGCTCACTGCATTCAAAACTCTGGCAAAACCTGTCCTAGAATATGCTTCCTAAGTTTGGCATCCGCACACAACTGTTAACATCGGCCAACTAAAAAAGGTGGATATATTTGCACTGCGGTTCATAAACAACCAATACAAAGAAACGAATCTGTTGCCCCACTTTTAAGAATCGCTCAAAATAACTTCTTCTTTAACGATAGGCGTCGTAGAGAGAGACAAAAATGTTTATACTGTATGTTAAACGGTTACCTTAACATAGGCACTACGAAGTATTTAACTCATCGACATGTTCGTGTCACGAGAAATCTTCATAATAGGGCTCTTGTTTCCTTTCTGTGTCGAAGTAACTCTTAAATTTTCGTTTTTCCACGTACCATCGAGGAATGGAATACACATTCTGAATCACATGTAAATTTCACATCGGCTGATTTGTTCTTCAAGGCTTTGGAAAATTGTTCGTGAAAAGCATTATTGTGGCCTTTCTGCTTTCTACTAAAAGTTTTCGCGTCTTTCTTTTGTTTTTGTATAATTTTTTGTGTAAATACCTCTCTTATCCCCACCTGTCACAACCTCCAAAAGCAAATTAGCAACATGTGTAAATAAATAAATGATCAGGATTCGCTTAGCACTATTTGAAACGAAAACAAATATTAGATAGACCATTGAGAAAGTAACATTTAATTGAGTAATTTTCTAGATTGCTTTAAACAAATAAGCTAAAAAAAGAAATATAACACTAAAAATAAAACGCCGAAAAGCGCTCTAGAATATATAGTTCTTAAGAGGCACTCAATATTTATTGAAAACGTTATGCAAGCAACAACAGTGTTTATTATCCTTATAAGATCAATTTGACCTTCTTCCGCTATCATCGCTCTCCAAAGTGAGTGCTTAAAATGTATTCCTTTGCAAGGGCATCCCCACAAACAGCTTAAATTCGTTTTGCCTGAAATTAGCAGAATTACAGTATGCATATTTAAAGGCCACTTGGCGAGGGTTGGTCTTCGTGATATCTTGTTATTTGCGCTTATTACTTGACGCTACATTATTTTTGGTGAATGCAAATGAGTTCTTACAAACGTGTCACGTCAGAGATCGCCCTGGGTACATGAGTGAGGTTGGCGTTCTCGCAGAAGACGCGCGTTGTCGAGTAACTTTCGCAGTAACACGTTCTGGGAATGTCCGTGCGATCTGAAATAAAAACAAATGAAAGTAAATGTAGTTCTGTATCGAAAGCCTGACGATGCTACTGTATAGACGTTGAGCCACATTATATACGTCGTACTCATTTCATGCAACTTATGCGGGTTACGTCCTCTTTACTTTCTATTCGGTTCGAGTAGCCATTTAATCTAAAATATTCACAATCTAGTATATATACTAGTAACCACTGAAGCGCTTTCGTCTTCACGAAGCACTACCAGGAAACCAGCAAATTAAGATTGACCCATAGTAAGATGATGCTCACAGCAGCCTTTTTTTTTTCTCATCTTTTGATTTCTTGACCGTTGAACATTAAAACGCTGTCGCTGCAACACTTGTGTTATACACAATTTGCTTCGGTGTTCATGCTCTCAATTTTTAGTACAAACTGTACGTAATATCAAATTGTCGATACTCCTTCATAAATTTCAAAAAAAGCGCTAAAAGTAGTTGACAAAAAATGAACACACACCATCGACAAGGTTTGCCTTGGTATCTGTGTCCTAATTGTTCTCTTCCTTTGCAGTGCTCTTTTTTTATAATAAATTAGTGACGATCGTTAAAGCTTTGAAACATTTTTCTATGACTGATATTACGAGGAGGTTTACGACAGTTGGCTCTTCACTAGGGAGGAGAAAATATTTTAGTAAGTTACCTCACCAACTACCGAGTTTAATTACTTAAAATGAACATATGTTTTGTTAAGTAGTGAGACAATAGGTAGCGCCTCTTACATTGTACGTACGTATAATAAACAAACAATATATTGCTCCGAAATTGCTTCTTTAGAAATAGGAATAGTGTCGGACGAAGTGACACAGCTTTAGTGCAACAAATTTAAGATAGTGGTATAAAAGACACCTCGTGCCTAAAGACTACTTATAACTTTAATGAATTGAGTATTCTGGTCTAGCATTGGGGGTATTGCAATTGTTTAAAGGAACAAAATCGGTGAAGCAAGTAGTTAAGTAATTCATTTCAATTCGGGAGCAATTTGACGGCCGTTGAATGTCAGCGGCAACTGCACACATGATTTGAAACAACGCATAGAAATAAAATGGACGATTTCCAACAACGGTGAAGACTTACTGCATGAGTATCGATGAAGCATGTGCTCGGCTTTGGTAATGTTCTGAATTCGCCAATTCGGAAAAACGCCCATGAGTGTTCCGAGTCCTCCATAGACGTCGGCTATAATATAACAAGTAAAAATAAAGAAATGTATTAGAACCGTGACTACAAGGAATATCGTTATCAAGGGTGTGGATCCCGTCGGACGATTCCGGTGCTCCTATCACCGAACAAAACTGACCCACGTGCACGCAATTGACATTTCTTTTCTTGAAAAGGCAGTGGTCAATACAGTACAAAAATATTCATGCAAAACATACGTACACACACTGTGTCGTAAAAGTATATTGTATTTTATAGACTACCGTACTATAGACTAAAGTGAACACGCATGCTTAAGTTTAGATCTCACTAAAGCTTTATGTGACTGTATTGGGCCATTTTGCGTACATTACGCGATCACGACTACGGTGCTACAACGCGGCTTGTGATGGTTCCCCTTATAATCTAACCACTCATCATTCCATTGCAGAATTATTAAACTTAAGTACGGAATAATCTCAGGGGCCTGCAAGGTGTAGATGGAAGACGAGCTAAGCAAAGATGTGGAGACATCTCGATAATGAAAGTGCGTAAACGCTACACATAACCGCGGGCACCGTCGCGTCGTAGCGGCCAACCACAATGGCGCCCTCAGTCTTCTTTCCAGAGCCGTAAAAAGAGGTGTAGGAAACAATGTTTCATAGATTGGTATTGTTCACTCGTGAATTCGGCTCCGTGGTTGTCTTGCGGACTCTATTTATTTTTGTTATAGCGTACACTTGCGAACATTTTTTCGGGCCGCTGGGACGCGACCGCAAGTTGTTCTGCGTTGTGTTTTCGCACCAGGGAAGACAGCTTGAGAGCCGGACAAGAATGGTACTGTGGTTTGGTCGCGTTAGGTTTATGAAGCTGGAATGAATCGGGTATTTCCTTAGTCGGAGGTTCAACGTCGCGTCCAAGCATCCTGTTCGTGCGCCTTTGACGTTGTCAGAAGTCATTAGATGGTCGCTCGGTTGCATCCTCGGATATTTGAAGACAACAAAGAGATGCCAGTAACTCTTTGATGCGACCCTTAAATTCCCCATTCAGTTTGCATTGATTGGATTTGGCCTTTTATCTCTCTTTACCTCCCCCACATTGTTTATCTGAAATGCTTAAAGGACTAAAGGGAGGGAAGAGACAGAGATGGGCATTGGGGGGCAACCCCCCCCCCCCCCTCATGTTTTGACGCGACCGCCAGGCTATCGGTGGTACTGCACCGGCTAAATTTCTCATCTACAGCAGAAAGCAGACCCCCATCGGGGCTGACCAACTTTTCACTCTCAACAATATTACATAACAATTAAATTCCAGTTATCCCCAAGAAAAGCCACCGTGTAATAACTGTTGTAATTATTACAAGCAACAGTCGTCAATTTATTTCCTTGAAAACAAAAACCAAACAAATATTTGTATCTACCCTCTAAGTTAGCTATCAAAAGACATTCTTGATTTCTATATTATTTTTGATTCGTATAGGCTTAGAAAAAAAAAAACTTTTAGTCTCCGCATAACGTTGAATTACGACTCGGTGCGAGACCCACTTGGTGATTGCCTCGCTTGTTGAGCACTATGGGGTTTTAAAGCGGAACCGCCGAAGCCGCCGAATCAATAGTTCATTTCAATTCCGTTCTGTCCCATTGAGAAGAAATAAGCTTGCTGAGGTCGAAGGATTCTGCAACTATTAGTGTATCACTCGGAAATCCTTTTCCAAACAATGCATGCACTCTCCGAGAATCCAGGCAATCACCGTTCTTCAGTGTGTGCCGCTATTGTCTGCTCTTTCCATTAGAAGAGTAATAAAGGAGATTCTTTTCATGTCCCTTTTTGTTTTGTTATTTTTTTTTATTGAAAATGGGCAAAACGCTACAAGGAGGGTACAGGGCACTGTTGGGACACAAGAAATCGCACTGCTGGAGAAAAATTGACAGCAGTAATTGGTATTATCCTCAAATAAAGAATGAAATGTAAGATTAATACTAGAAACATCACAATCGTGTCCTGCTAAATCGTAAGCCTCGGGAAGGTTTGTGCTAAAGGCGTGGTTTACTGAGCCACCTTTCGGGCATTTTGAACATGCATAATAAATTATATCTTAGATAAATGTTAGATATATTTTATCTGTGTATTTATTTGTGCTGCCATTTATATGTTTAGCGTTTAACAAATACGTTCCCTGGACTTAAGGTGCACCTGATTTCTGTGGAGAACGCTGCTTAACTCTCACCGTCTTCAATATTCGACCCTTGCATTCGTGTCACACATGCGTTGCGGGGGACTTTCGTTTAAAAGTTGTTAAAATAACAGGAGGATATCGCGTCTTTCGAAGAAGACCATGAACAAAACCAGAAATCTTCTTCGTCAATTCTCTTCTAATTGACAGTGGTTCCAATTAATTCGAAAGTCCCGTTGGTCGGGGTTGTTAATGCTTCTCCCGAAAACCTCGAGCCAATTAACACTGTGGGTAGACGAGTACAAGTAAAAAGATAATATTTATATCAATTTACAGCTTGTCTGGGAAAGCATTTTTCGCGAATGCGGCAGACTGTTCTGACTGTTCCAGATGGCAGATTGCAGATTGTTATTAAATACTTAGAAAAATAAAAGCATCACCGAGAGGTGACGTACAGTTTGAGAAGTAAAGCCATTCATGCACCGCCATTTTGTTTTGCAGCTGTTCCTCGTATTGTTGCGCTAAGTGTATAAGCAGTACCGAAGATTCACCATAGCGCTCAATTAATTCATACAAAAAAACGTTGTTCCATTACTTATTTATATTGATGTTCTTTTTTTGTGCGAACAAAACAACAATTAGACAAGCTGATAAAAAGCGAGTTAAGCAAGGTGAATGACATAAACTGCGTCGTTAGGGTTTGGTAACCCAGACGATTGATTATGCCCAAGTTTCGCCGAAGTCAAAATTTTCCTACGAAACCGAAGTATTCTACGGAAAAGCAATTAGTGCCTTATTAGTCACTGCCAACGAGGTAATTTAGGGAGGCACATAATGTTTCGAAATAATAAGGTTCATATTGGGTTTTGCATAATTAACGTTTTGATTAGTAAAAACAGACATATGGTTTCAATTATAGACTTGCTCAGCCCTAAATTAGTACATTTTGGAAGCACTTGGACGCGTGCGGAGTGTACCTGCTGGTGCGCAAAAGCAGCCGCTTGTGGTACAATCGCAAGGCTGACGGTACGAAAACGGAGATGATAAGATTGGGGAAAAAACGAGGGGGGGGGAGGGTAACATTGAAATTGAATGCAATTTCAGGACCCCATAAAGTCTAAGCGCACGCTCCATTTTTTAATTAATTGAGTTTCAGATTTTTACGATTGCAAACGTTTTTTACCAGTAACTTCGTGTTTATTCTTTTTTAACGATGAAGACGCTAATTGTGAAAACAACAACTTAAAACTTTAATTGGGGTAATTTTACGTACCTCATTAAATGATCTCTTTGACAGTGCCTAATGTAGTTACAGTCGCCATTTTTGTGTGACGCGTATATTTTTGGTGTGAACGCTCTCCGATATTACGAAATTTTAGAAAAACGTACGCAAAACTGCGTGCGAAAAAAAAGTCGTTGTCGCGATTGCGCGTGCGCCAAGTCGCAACCGCGTATTTGCGAGTGGTTACAACGATATTAATTTCCGTACGTAAAGTCCTGCCAGGGATGGGCAAAATACATGCAAATATGTATTGAAATATAAATACAAAATGCTTCGTCAAAAATGTATTTAATTACAAATCTAATTACATTTCCAAAAAAGCAATTAAGTACAAGATACAAATGCAACCAAATGTATTTGGTATCCTCCAAATTCTTTTCCAAATACATTCCTCAAAATTTGTGTCAGCGACTTCAGGGCACCCGCAACAAGTTTCTGGGTATCTCATTTTAATTTTGCATCGCACACTCGGGAGTTAGTGTACGAGGCTCTAGTAACGTAATTGAAATACAATAAAAAAAATTTAATCAGCTTGGATGTAATAGGCGAAAAAATTAGAGCTTCAAGCAGCTTTTTTTGCGGATTACATTTTGGTATAGACCAACAAAGAACCGAGACGACCAAGACGCGCAGCGCTAGGTAGAGAATTGTTTACTGTTGCAACTCGCACCAGTTACGAACATCTGGACGACCCGCGCATTTAGAATGTTTCAGGCAAAAATATGGATGGAAATCAGGTTGGAAAGTATCACAAGTTGTCACAGGCATTTACTTAGCCAGTCTGGCTGTGAAAGTCTATTTCGTCACCATTCCTGCCCTGGACTAGCACCGTAATCACAAAGTCACTAAACGCTTGTGCTTGATTGAGAGACACTGCATTCGGTGCAGAACGTAGTTTTCTTCCTGCTCTGGACAGTGCCTTTGAAATAAAGCCGGAGGAGAAAAAGAAAAAAAGCCCCATGGCCGAATAAAGGACGAAGACCATATCTTACAATCACACGCATAAAAACAAGATGCATTTTCGCCCACAAAATTGTATTTAATTACAATTGTATTTGAAATACCCACGTTTTAGTATTTAAATGCACACGTCAAATACATTACCCAATTTCTAATTAAATACAAATACAAAACACACAAAGTATTTGAAATACGTATTTAAAATACTTGTATTTGAAATACTGCCCATCCCTGAGTCCAGGCATAAGTAATTCTAAAACACGCTATACTTTCAATATTAAAAAAAAAGCACGATATGCTTTATACAGGTTTATATTTCATGGCCTTACAAGGAACCTCTAAAGGCCCGTTCACACTCTTGCGACCGAGTACGACTGAGAGAGACGAGATCTCTTAAAACTTCTTAAATGTTTTCTAGACTGAGGGAACACACTGGCATTGTGGCGCCATCTTTGCGGTGACTCTGGAACTGCATTTCACAAGAGCGAAGGTTTTGCAGGATTTCCGAGGTCAAATGTGCGTAATACCCATAGAAAGGCTCGTTTATAATATTGACAAAAGTTTTTCGAGCCAAAAAAGAAAGGATAATGCGCGAGAAATAAACAAAAAATATGCCGGACCGCCGAGTTTACACTGCTTCCCAATAGATGGCGCCAGTGTGTTCTTTGGTTTAAGAAGTTTTATGGAACCCAGGTTTAAGAGGTCGCAAGTGTGTGAACGGGCATTTAGCATACACTATTCCTGGCACCAGCAATTCGGTACACTGCCCTGAATATCTAATACAACACTCCAAGAAACCACAGGAACAGTGTGCTTAGATTCTTGGTTCAGCAGTCATGCTCCCCAAGTATATGTCATTTCTAATATCTACGCCACATGAAAAAAAAATGACTCACGTTTTTTTATTCCTATAGTATATGTACTGTATATAAGTGAAGCTCCAGTACCACGCTTTTATGAGTCGTCACATCTAAATGATTGGTTTTCAAGTTTACGCACGTACAGAAACTCGATGTATCCTAAGAGTGTCAAATGAAACGACAGGCCTCCCGATTTTTTTTTCTTTTCTTTGTCCATTTACTGAATTTGTAGCATGACCCACATAAAGTTGGAAAGAGAGCATTGACCCGGAACTCCTATCCATGAAAGTACTTTTTGTCCCTTGTCGAATCAGGAAGCCGGGCGTACGAGTTTAGGAAGTTAAAGACCAGACGAAGACGAACTATCGCTTTGACAACGTCCACCTCCCCCTCTCTTTCTCCTCCCGCATGTGTTCAGTCCGCCGGACCGGGAGTATTGAACATGGGCGCTTACACCACACATATACGCCCTTTCTCACACAAACACAGATGCACTCACGAACGCACACGCCCTCACACTCACACGCTAAGACGCGCACACACGCACGCACACGGGCAAGCATGCACGCACACACTAACACACAACTTCGATTCCGAACACCATCACGCAAATGCACATTAAGCTTCACTGAAAAGAGCGGATGAGAACATTCTAGCTTGCCAAGTTCTGTTAAGCGGATCTCGAATGAATAGTGCACTGGTGCCACCCTTAACGCAAACTCCAATTTTTATCTTTGGCAGTGAATGGTAAGCGTGCAGTTATGCATACACGACCGCTTTCCGTTAAAAAAGTAAACCAATGTTGTTGTTTTTTTTAGAGTGCCGCTCTTAGGCGCCCGTTTACAAGTTGAGCGGCGTCTCCGTCGGCGTCGGCGTAATCGCGCGCTTTGCATCATGGGACGTTTCCCCGCTAAAGTTAGCGGGCAAATTTCCCGCTAAATTTGGTAGGGAAATTTACGTCACGTGACCTCAACGCCAACTCAGTTTCCCCACTAAATTTAGCGGGGAAAATTACGTCTCGACTTCGTGTCACGTCACACAAATTCAGCGGCAGGAGGAGAGGAGAAGGAAAAGAGGAGGAGGGGGTAAAAGAAGGAGGGAAGAGGAGGAGGAGGAAGGAGCATACCCTCCCCTCATCCTCCTGAAGAGTTTCGCTCTAATTTCGTATTACAGAAATTTGTAAACGTCCTTTCTTATTTATTATTTTTTTTTGTGATTCTCAGACATTTAAGATTGTCAGACTGTGTTGCCTCACTCGATTGATTCGCTGAAGAACCTCCAACTAGAAAATTTGTGAACTATTCGCAACTCCAGCCTCGCGTGTTGAAAACCCTTTCGGGCCCAAAACTTTACTTGAAGTACTAGAGACCTAAAAACCCTAACATGGTTGAAGAACACACGAAACAACAGAAGTTTGAAAAAAAAATATCTTTTTTTTTCTTACGCATGTTTTCAAAATGTTGCTTGTGAGCAACATTGTTCATTTGTGGCACTATTTCACGTCGAACGAATGAAAGCAGTTACAACAGGGAAGAAGGCCCAGGCGCATTTATAATTTCGCACAGTAGAGAAGGGGATCACCGAATTTGTAATATTTGCGCCGGTCGTTCTTCTCGCTATTTTGAGGGCAGTGGTGCAGGCCGACATACCTCACATCTACTGTCGAGTTTGGTTTTGAAGGACGGGTGATCCGTTTCGAAGAGGCTGGTGGCCAAAATAAAGATTTCGGTCCTCCACTGCTGAGCGCAGGTACCCTCGCCCTTCCGACAGAGGGCACTAAATTTATTGAGTCGCACGTAGCACGGAGAAAATAATTCTCGAGTTGTCGCTCCTGGGAAAAGCTGGGCATCAAAGGATCAGTAATTTTTTCCGTTTCTCGTTTTCGCCACTGGGCTGCGCCAAATTTCTCTCCATGTACAGCATATATTAAAAAAGACGGTCCTTCTAAAATCATGGGGTGCGTTTGCGATTTATTGGTGGACTCCTCCCGTTTCAACTGCGCCTACACGCGATGCCCCTGCAGGCAAGCCTACCTCCCTCCTGCAATACAGGGATATTAGCCTACACTACCGCCTCCTCCGCCGCCTATTCCCACCTCCGCACCCCCACCTCTCCCAAGAGGCAGCACACATGCTGCGCCTTTTACAAACACACACTTTCCCCCACCGAACACAACTAGTACACACCCAACCACACCTCTTTACCACCCCCGCCTGTCCTGCCTGCGGGGCACTCGACACTCATTACCATTCCCTTTGCGAATGCACCGCAGACCCATACCCCCCTCTTCCCTCCCCGCACCACTGGGAGAAGATGTTGCGCGACCCGGAGTCAGCCCAAGTCCTGACCACCTACCGGGCCTTGGCGATCGCGGCGGCCCCCTGGGCCTCCGCCACCCCCAATACCTGATCCCGGAAGAATAATAAAGTTTCCTCCTCCTCCTCCTGCGGAGACTATACTTTGTTTCAGCTTAAGTTCAGACGCAGCCGATGCTACAAGCGCGAGCTCTGAGCTTTCAGCGTCCCTGCCAAGCACGTGTCTCCTGCAGTGAAAGCACTGTTCAGGGCCACATGCTCACGCTTCTAGCATCGGCTGCGTGGGAACTTAAGCTGAAACCAAGTATAGAAAGGAGGCGGAAAGGCGGAGACGTTTGTAAACGATGAACGTTTTTTGCGGCACCTCCTCGCCACTCGTATTGAAAACGCGACCCATAATTAAACCACGTAAACCTGCTCGAACAGTTTGGAACTCTTTGTAATACACAGCTCTCTAGCATGCCCGGATGGGTGATAGATTCCTACTCCTCTACTTCGCCTATTTTCCTCTTCGTGGAGCCATATTCCTTGGAGTTTCGAACACTAAGAGTTTAACGGTGAAGATAGCGATGAGGTTGCTGTCCGCTTCGCATCTCCGAAGGGCACGGAATTTCTTCCGGCATTTGACACAATCATTGCTCTAGGCACCATATTTGCATTCATACGGTTACTGTCTAGATAATCTCGCAAGCACAGTACTGTGGTATCCATGGCTCACATTGACACCCATTTCAGCAGTCACTGTGGGATGGCTATTGCAACCACCGATCTCCACTAGAGGGGGCTGGATGGCGCGTTGAGCAAACAGGTATGAAGCCACCGGAAGTGAGCGGCTTGTCCCGGAAGTGAGCGCTTGGCAGGCTTTGTAACCCTTCCAAGTAATGGTTCGAAAAGCGTCGAGGGCGCTGGATTTTCGCTTGTTCCCTCAAGAGAGCCTGCTTGTTGCGCAGTAAGAGCGCATGGGAACCCGAGAAGTATCATGGGAAGCCATTCAATGTAAACATTTTGAGATTCTAGTTGATCAAATTGTGAATATGTCCCAAGTTCAAATGCCTCATTCTCGAAATTTAATGCAGAACGGCAGTATTAAAACCCAATCAAAGACACAAAAAAGCATGGTCCAAAATATCGACTGAATGCACTAGGAAGCCCAGCAGACGCCCGACTTCCGGGACAAGCATCGAACTTCCGGTGGCTTCACTTGCGCCAGGCTCGGAGAGCAGCTAAGCGCCATCCAGAGGCTATAGTAGAGATCAGTGATTGCAACGGTTTACTGCTGAGCCCGTTCTTCATCTAACGTGCATTTTGCAACACCCAATTGTTTTTTTTTCTCTCGGGAATAACCCGCATCAAGCACCAGCAGCGTGGTGCTTTAACGTCAGGTTCAAGCCATCTATAAGAGACAAGGCTAGCAGAACTTGACTTTCAAGACTGTTTTATTGAATCTCAACCGCAGCAGGGGGTGGGGGGGACCGGTGACTGAGAGCGCACCGCAGGCGAAGCGAAACATCGCCCTGATGAACCCGAGCACCAGCTGTGTTCAATCACTACCCTCGGCCGTTTCGGTCTGGACGAGTATCGTACCGGTGCGAGGTAATGTATTACTACTGCACGATGCACGTTAAAAACAACAGGCTAGCAGTGGTACAGCATTGGCTAAATTTCCCGTCTCTAGCCGGAGATACTACCCCCGTCGAAAAAAAAACACACACACACACAACAAGATTACAAGTACGCAACCACTTGCGAGCGGAAGGACAGTTCATTCTAAAAAAAAAAAAAATAAGGAAAAACATGATCTGACCACGCTTTCCGCAATGATGCACACACTGGTTTAAATAGAGCTAATCACTCACAGCAGTGTCGCTCGTCTTCGCCGCCAGGGCAGTTGACGACGCCGTCGCAGTGAAGAAGCCTGGAGAGACATCGGCTGCTGCCGTTCCCGCACGGGACATGTCCTGGAGGGCAGACGACTTCCCTCTGGTCCAGATCCTCGGCAGTCATGTCCAGACCTGAAGCAGAAGAAGCCGGAAAGAATGAGATAAAACTTTCACGGAGAGCTTGAGAAACGCCGGACACGGCGGGCCGCATTCTGCTATGACATTGAAGCCAGTGATATTGGCTGGGGCATCGGCCGCTTGTTTGTTCTGCGTTGCCCTGTGTACGAGCACAAAGTATTTTTTTTAATTACATTTCGCAATAATTCTTTTACTAGGATGCACAGAATTTTTCGGAATGAATTGCACTTCGAATTTTTAATTCGTATTACATCCTCGTGCTATTAGCGGCGAGATGTTTCGGTGGCGCCCTCGTTCGGTTACCTTTCGTGACGTCATTACCTTGTGAACAACAAGTACAATGGTGTCTGTAATCAGCATGGTGAAAGCCTGAAATCATAGCGCTCTCAAAGCAACACTGCCAACACCGTCAAAATTGGAGTTCTTCCATTCCTCTTATTTCCGACGATGAGACACTCTTTGCTGACGTCATAGTCAGCGTTCGGCCAATTGTGGTGGGCCGACCACAGCGACACTTTCGGCCACTCACGTCTCCAATATCCGTGGACATGTTCCTGTAGCTTTTCTTTTCTGGCCAGAGGAGGAGTGTCCATGCACGACCGTTTACAGATAATTCTCTCTTCAGCGAACAAAGTGGCCTTTGTATGATGTTCGAGCAGCGAGATTGAGGCTTTCGACAGCGTGGCCCGTGCATACATTTGATCAACGTACTATGGTGCGCGTCCGCTCGGGCACCCTTCAGATCCTCAGTTCAACCCCGCTGCGTCGTAAAGTTTCGCCGAGAACAACACACCGTCGAATTAAAAATTCGAGGAGTAGATTTGAACGTTGCGGGTGAAGACGCTTTATGCAATTTTTACCCTAAACGTTCTGAAGACCGGCTCGCACCTCCCAATGATGTCCCCCCGTGTGCGCAATCTCAATACAAATTCAAACACAACGAGACGACTGAAAATTTGGCGTGAAACTCCTGTAGCCGATCGCCTCTGTGCAAAGTGTGGCGACACTACATATCATACTGCATTTTGAGCAACTCGTTAGTCTTTATTTTTAATTTGATTTTCGCAGCTTTAAAGTTTCATTCGCAAGCTGTTCATGTCATGATGTTCTACATGTCTTCGCTAAGGATTTTTTTATAACCTCCAAACGTCAAAACGTTCAGCCCTACGTCGGAAAGAAGACATTTCTTCAGAAACTGTCCGTAATTTTCATTCGGGTCAAATACTCCAGGTAGCATGCCAGAGAAAAGCCTAACGTGGCGCATTCTTGACAATCCTATCGGCCTGGTTTTGCTCCAAGGCGTTAGTTAGTGCCAGAGTGCGCATTATTTGTTTTTTCTGTGGGTTTTTTTTTGGATCGCCACATAATTGCCAAAGTTCCAGTCGAGCTAAAGACTGTTCAAATAACGACTGTTCAAATAAAATTTAGTAGCTGCGTTTTGAGACGTTTTGTGTGTTGTCCCCTTCTTCGTCCGTCGCCTCCGGTCTTCAAAAATGTGTAACATCAACCAGCTCGCCCTGCCTATACTTACTTTATCTTCAATCGAGCTAAAGATGCCAAGTACGAAGAGAAGAACAAGCAGTGAGACCTAAATCTGGAGGTTGTTTGGTCCTTTACACCCAAAGTTTCCACATTGAAAACCGAACAACAACAACAAGTGAAATCTATAAGCTCTAGTACTCGGTTTGAGATTTAAGCCCAAGCTTCCAGACCGACGGATAAAACACCAACGTTTCAACCACAACTTCGGCACTTGGCTGGCAAATTAGGATCGAGATACTCAGCCTCTGGCCAAATAAGGTCAAGTTTGGTTCAACCATGGCTTTCTCGCTTTTTGAGGCCCTAAATGTCCGGATAAAAACTAAATTTTGGTCCAGAGAGACGTGCTATGCCTGGGAAACGTTTTAGCGTTCCTGCAGGAAGCAAGGCCGGTCTACAACGCAGCCAGGCATCTATTTTTAAAACAGGAGTTACAGCTTAACCAAGTCAACCTGCGAACCAGTTCCGCCTCTCGTCAGGCTTGTTTACCGTCGTTGTGCACGCGGAACGAGGTTCTCCCAAGGCACGCGTCAACAGCGTGATATGTGACAGCTACCATACCCCTCTTTTTGATGCCTCACTGAAGCGCACAACACCAAAGCACCGAAGAAAAAAGTCGCGCAACAGAGGGGAAGGGAGAAAAGGGGAAAGAAAAAGCGTGACCCAGCTGAAAATATACTTTTTGAGCCCCGACTCCTAGCGAAGTGTTCTTTCCGCTACCCGACGCCACCCCCGCAAAGCACGCAGCTGGAGACCTTCACGAAAAGAGGGTGACGCTCAAACTAGAAATTCGCACCAACGTTTTGGTGCTAAGGCAATTTCTGAGTAGTGTTCTTATTTTTGTTTTGTTTGCAATGTTGTTTCGTTTTTAGACCGACTACCCCATTGCAAGTATCCATCGCTGTAGCTAGCGAATCATTTTTTTGTAATAAATGGCGGATCGATAGAATAAAGAAAAATTACTCCAATTTAAAAAAATTCAGAAATTTCGTCAATTCCGAACTAAGGCGAGCTAAACACGTTTATCACGCTTCGTTATTCGACGCGTCCAGTTTAAGAAACCCAGAAATTATGTGGAAGCGCCTGAACCGTTTACTGCGCAATCCAACCGAAGATAGAGCACCAAATACTATGATAATTGACGACACGGAAATTTCGGGCAAGGATCTCGCAAATAAATTTAATGATCATTTTGTTAACATAGGCAGTAGCACGTACGACAGTACGGCAGCAAATATTTTAGAAACTAACCGTGAAACCCTCTTCCTGAATCCTACAGATCCTGCCGAGGTGTTTTCCGCCCTCATTAACATTACAAATAGCCGAAGCCGTGACTGTGAGGATCTCTTAATCCAACCAATAAAATATGTAATAGATCTCGTACTGCCCTGCCTAACCCACCTATATAATTTGATACTCTCGTCTGGCGTATTTCCCAATAGAATGCAAATTGCGAAAGTGGCAGTCCTGTACAAAGGTGGAGACAGAAATGACATGAACAATTACCGGCCGATCTCTATCCTTCCTATTTTTTCAAAGCCCGTCGAGAAAATCATATATTCGCGTCTTATGCATTTCTTCGAGCAACATTATTTATTGGCGGAGTGTCAGTTCGGTTTCAGAAAGAACAGGTCTACTGAAACTGCTTTGCTTGTCCAGAAGGAGATAATATTAGAAAATTTTGAAAGTAAACTCTTAACCCTAGGAATATTTATAGACTTCAGTAAAGCATTTGACCGGATAAATCACAAAATTCTTTTAGACAAATTAGAATGCTACGGAATTCGAGGTGTTAGTTTATCACTCATTGAATCATATCTACGGTACCGGAATCAGTACGTTCAGATCAACTCATACACATCATCCACGCAGCAAATTTATTCAGGAGTGCCCCAGGGAAGTATTTTAGGACCCCTTTTGTTTATCTTGTACGTTAATGACATCATAAAAATTGAAGCCGCTGTTAAATTCATAATGTACGCTGATGATACAAGCATATTTTTCACCGACACTCGAGAAGATGTGCTTGCATCTAAGGCGAACGTTTTTTTAGAAAAGCTAAAGACGTGGATAGATTCTAACTCTCTTGTAATTAATACCGCGAAAACAAAGGCTGTATTGTTTCAATGTCCAGGATCGCGTGTCAGATTGACAAATGATCTACTTTTCGGATCATGCCAAATTGACTGTGTTGAAAATGTCAAGACTCTTGGTGTTATTTTTTCAGAACACATGTGCTGGAATAACCAGGTAACACATATCCATAAAAAACTTTGTAAGGTTGTTGGCATATTGAATAGGTACAGACATACGCTCCCAGTTCATATTAAAAAGTTAATTTATGACTCCCTCTTTCAATCTGTAATTTGCTACGCTCATGTAGTATGGGGTACGACCACTATGCGAAATGTCAATAAGCTGCGACTGTTGCAGAAAAAGGCGCTTAGAGCTATCGAAAATGTTCCTCGAGATTATCATACCCTTCCCCTATTTTTGAAACATCAGGTCGTCGACATTTCCTACTTGTATCCCTGGAGACTAATTTACATGTATCAAAGATCAGTAAAACAAAACATCAAAGTTATTTTGAATCTTGGAAACCTGGTGAGAAACGAAGTAACATATTCATTACGTGACCCTCCTCATTGGCGTGTTCCCCCTTCCAGGACCAATTTTGGATTGCAGAGATTTAACTACAGACTGGCGGTTATGTTAAATAAGCTGGCATCCCGAGATATTGACATACGCTCCATAAACTATCAGACAATTCAAAGAATATTATAATATCGAAGTGTTTTTTCTTGTGTTTCTTCTTCTGTGGTTATTGTATAAGAGTTGTAGTTTAGAATTTCTGTAACCTAGCTGTGCCCCCATCACTGCTGCTTGGTTTTGGGGGGCGCTGGACTTTGTCAAGCTGCGAGTACGCAGCTTTTTTCCAGCCCCCTAGTCCCAAATGTAATTGTTTGTGACTTAATAAACTGATTGATTGATTGATTGATTGATTGAATAGGTCCTCATCCCTGTCCGTTTTGATCTGGGTGAGCGTATCGTACCGGCGTGCGCGCGTGTATCAACACTGCGTGATACACGCTAAAGACCCCAGGCTAACAGGGGTACTGCACTGGCTACGCTTCTCATTTGCGGTGGAGACATGAGACGCGCGTTGGTGCTGACTGCGGTCACTGAGGGGATGAAAAAACGTAGGGCGTGGCTCACTATGTTTACGCTTCTTGCTTCGCGATTGGCTCTGGGACGTTCTTATCGACGAATGCGGTAATTCCATTGGCTGCCGTGCGATAAAGAGACGCGCGGAACGTTTCTTAAGCTGTCACTGGCTAAGCGGAGCACAAGTTCGTCTGCTTCTTGCAGAGTGCTCACGATGATGTCAGAACGCCGAGCTCTTATTGGCTGATTAAAAAAAAAGATGTGTGTAGACCTCAAAGAATCTACCGTTG